AACGTCTGGCGGGTGTCGTGCTCCGCACAGAAGGCTGCCAAGAGGTCGGAGGAAAACTCGCCACCTCTGTCAGAGTGCGGACGCAGGACGAGAAACTCCGTCCCGAACTGCTCGCGGAGCTGGAGGCGAGCAGCGCGGATCCAAGGGATCAAAACATCAGGGACCTCACCCTTGGTGCGCAAGGGGAAGACCGTGGTGTAACGCGTGTAGTCGTCGACGACCAGCAGGAAGTACCGCTCGTGGCCCTGTCCACGGACGCGGGCTGGGCCCCACACGTCCAGGTGGAGAGTCTGCAGGGGAGCCTCTGTGGGAGGGAACGAGGAGGAGTGAGGAGCGGCGCGCTGCCGCCCCTCGACACAGGGAAGACAGGGAGGAGCAGGCGAGGGTGGGAGGGGAGGGAGAACCCTGGGAAGACCAGAGACAAAGACACGGCGGTGCATGCTGCGAAGGCGCTGCACCGAGGGGTGACCAAGGCGGTGGTGCCAAAGGAGGGTCTGGTGCGACAAGGCGCGACACGAGCAGGGGGCCGACAACTTACATGACGCTGACGCAGATGCAGCTACCTGAGGGGACTTAGTGGTCAGTGTGTGCAAGCTCGACCCCGGCTGCCGAGTGAAGGTAGCCAGGTGACGACCCGTCTGAGCACACGTGCAGTGTGTCACACGCTCGTAGGCAGGGGTGAACTGGTGAACACCCGCGTCCTGGAGCGCAGAACTCGCCACCAAGTTCGTAGAGAACGAGGGGAGGTAAAGACCCGACAGTGTGCCGGACGGGACAGCAGGACAAGGCAGGACAGTGGTGGAGGTCGCACGGACTGGACCCCCAGAGGGGTCTGCCAGAGAGACTGCAACCGACCGACTTAGCGGCGTGAGGGTGGTGCTGTCGCGAAAGAAAGAACGAGAAGAACCGGAGTCAAGTGTGAAGGTGTAAAAGGCCTCAGCAGGCGCAGTACCAGAGAGAGCACACTCACCAGCACCTGGAGCAGAAGCCTCACCAGCACCTAGGGCAGCAGCCTCACTAGCACCTAGAGCAGCAGGCTCTATACCTGGGTCAGGCGGTACGCACAGGTAACAGGCACCGTCAGCACTAGTAGGCAATGCATACATGGCAGTGAGAATAGCATCATAGTCAAGAGCAAATACATCTACCCTCTGCCTAAGCAGCTCCAGCTAGGTGGGGAGCTCAGCCTCGTTGCCAAACTCGGTACGCCAGGCGTCGCTCAGACGGGCGAAGCAGCGGGACTGTGTGTGACCAGGTGTCCCGCAAGGCTGACCAGCCCGATCACCTGTGCGAATGACGTACGGGCAGCGAACGGGACTCAAAGACCCTCTACTCTGAGCGTACCACTCGTGAAGCTGCTGGGAAGTAAGTGTCTTGCGTGGACGCCGCTGCAGCTGCAGCTGGCCACTACCAGACGCTCCCAACTGACCAGCTCCAGGGCGACAGCTACGACGGCTACCGCCACAACCCCAATTAGCGTACCGCTCACGAAGCTGCTGGGGCGGGAGAGACTCGCGTGAATGTCGCTGGAGCTGCATCTGGCCACCGCCAGTAGCAGCAGTAGTAGTAGCAGTAGCCTAGCAGTAGTAATAGAAGGAGCAGCAGTAGCATCGCGGGCAGGGCAGGCGCGGCAGGCAGGCAGGCAGGCAGACAGGCAGGCAGGCAGGCAGGCTGGCAGGCAGGCAGGTAGGCAGGCAGACAGGCAGGCAGGCAGGCAGGCTGGCAGGCAGGCAGGCAGGCAGATGGTGCGGCAGCGCGCTAACAAGGCAGGTGCTCACCAGGCAGGAAGGGCAGGCGCTCGCCGGGCAAGCAGGGGCGGCGTCGCGGGTCCAGGGGCGGCGTCGCGGGGTCCAGGGGCGGCTGCACGAAGTCCAGGGGCAGTTGCACCAGGGGCGGCTGCTTCAGGGGCCCGGGGCGGCTGCTCGGGGTCCAGGGGCGGCTGCGCCAGGGGCGGCTGCTGCAGGGGCCAGGGGCGGCTGCTCTGGGTCCAGGGGCAGCTGCTCGAGGGTCCAGGGGCGGCTGCACCAGGGGCGGCTGCTTCAGGGGCCAGGGGCGGCTTCACTGGTTCCAGGGGCGGCTGCTCGAGGGTCCAGGGGCGGCTTCACCAAGGGCGGCTGCTTCAGGGGCCAGGGGCGGCTGCTCTGGGTCCAGGGGCGGCTGCTCGAGGGTTTGCGGGGCGGGTGCACCAGGGGCGGCTGCTTCAGGAGCCAGGGGCGGCTGCTCTGGGTCCAGGGGCGGCTGCTCGAGGGTCCAGGGGCGGCTGCACCAGGGGCGGCTGCTTCAGGGGCCAGGGGCGGCTGCTCTGGGTCCAGGGGCGGCTGCTCGATGGTCCAGGGGCGGCTGCACCAGGGGCGGCTGCTCTGGGTCCAGGGGCGGCTGCTCGAGGGTCCAAGGGCGGCTGCACCAGGGGCGGCTGCTTCAGGGGCCATGGGCGGTTGCTCCAGGGGCGGCGTAGTTGGTGCAGGGCAGCGCATCGGTCCCACAGGTGCCATAACGGGCGACGGGGGGGCAGCGCGCCGTCACCGGAGAAGGTGACGCGTGGGGCCGGCGGCAGGCTGCGCGGGCGGCTAACGTAGCGCGCGGGGCCGAAAACAGGCTACGCGGGCGGCGGACGCGGCGCGCAGGGCCTAAGCGGGCTGCGCGTGGGCGGCTTACGTGACGCGCGGGCCGGCGGCAGGCTGCGCGGGCGGCTGACGTGGCGCGCGGGGCCGAAAACGGGCCTAAACGAAGAGCGCGCGGGCTGCTCAAGCGGCGCGCGCGGGCAGCAGGCAAGGCAGGTGAGGTAACGTGGTAACGGTGGGCCCTTATCTTAGGTCCTAGAGACGTCTAGGCTCTAGATACCATCTTACAATCTTAGGCATGAAGTTGTGTGTGATTAGAACAAGGTTGGGGTACAAGACTAGAGTGTCGAGAATGTTTGTGTACCCCCGAAGGCTAGCCCCAATATAGCCTAGATACTAATATGCATATGTTTTGACAGCTAGTGCTACGCTGGCAGCGAGGCTCGGGCTAGTCCCGAAGCGTAGGCCGACACGGCCGGGCCAGCAGTGCGAGGTTTGGCAAAACAGTGCGCGCGAGGTTGGCGAAGTCCCGTTAGCAGTAACGGGCGAACAACGGCTGTTGCTGTACGCGATGTAGTCGGGTTCCGTAAGGAATGCCGAGAAAATTCCTTACACGCAATGACGATTTATCGCATGATTCAACGCAGCCGCAACCCTGCCAAGCCAGCCTGACCTCCAACTTGCCACGTGGAGGAGGAGCTTCCAGTGGGCATGTTGTGCTACGTATTTGACGAGCACATTCCCCCTTTGTCGAGTCGCCATAATCCGCAACAAGCCGAATTCCTGAAATCCGGCGGTGCCTCCAGCGAAATTGGTAGTTGGTAGCCTCGCGAATCGCGAAACGTGGAAAAACTCGCGAACTTGGTCTGTACAGGTGAGTTGTCGCCAGTTGGCGTTTTCACCAGGTGCAGCGAAACTCCGCGATTTCACGAGATACAACTACTCCCCTCCAAGAAACTCTCACCACCTTTCTTTCGACAGTCACAATTTTATCATCGAACTTCCCAGTCATGGCTCGATCAAGCATCGCTTTAGCCCTTTCGGCACTTGTGATAACGTTTCTCCTGAGTGGGTCTCAAGTTGCAGAGTCTAGGCGAATTCGTTTGGCAGAGACTCAGGAAACCCTGGAGGAGATTGCTATTCGCTTGAGAGCAGCCGCTGATCAGGCTGCTGCGGAGCTCGAAGCAGCTGAGGCCGTCGCCGACACTCGCGCCGCCGAAGAAGCGACTGCGGCCGCCAACGTGGCGGCGGCGGAGGTGTCGGCGGTGAAAGCCGCGGCGGATTGGCAGGCGGCAAACGCGGCGGCAAGCGCGGCGAAGGCCACCGCGAAGCAGGCGCGGAAGAACGCGACGGACGCGAAGCAGGCGACCGCGGGGCTGAAGAAGAAAGCGGAAGCCGCCGATAGGTACCAGAAGGCGCAGGAGAAGGCGCAAAAGGCGTTGGAAAAATCTGCGCAGGCGAAGTCGCGGAAAGACAAGGCCGTGTCTGCGGCAGGCGCGCAGCAGCAGGTTGCCGACGATGCGACCAAGGCGGCTGCGGACGCCGCCAAGAGCAAGGGCAAGGGCAACGGCGCGGCGAAGGCGGCTGAGGCGAAGGCTAAGGCGGAGCAGAAGAAGGCGGCGGAGTTGAACAAGGCCGCGCAGAGCGCATCCGCGGAGGAGTCCGCCGCAAACACGGAAGCAACCAAGGCTGCCGCGGAGGCGGCGCGGACGCTCAAAGTGACGCTCACGCCGGAAGATCAGACGCTGCTGGACAAGGCGGCTGCGGCGGAGGCGGCGGCGGCGAAGGCTGAGGCTGACGCTAAGGCGGCGGAAGACGCGGCGAAGGCGGCGGAGAAGGTAGCGAAAGCCGCGGCGGTGCGGCTGACTAAGCTGAGGTCGGCGCTGAGGGCCGCACAGGCGCGCAGGGCGGAGGCGGACAGGATAGTGGCGGAGAAGGCTGCAGCTGCGGAGGCTGCGGAGGCTGCCGCGGAGGCAGCAGAGGAGGCGGCGAGCCGCGCACCTGGCTCGGAAGGTGCTCCTGGTTCGGAGAGCGCGCCTGGCTCAGACGCTGCCCCTGGGTCCGAGGCTGCTCCGTGAATGGTGGTAGCAGAATGAGAGGGCAATTATCAACATAGTAAATTTTGGGGTGTTATTTGTTCATTCCATTCTTGCTAATTCATGTGTGCGTAACTTGTATTTATTATTCATTTATCAGTGAAGTAGTTTCGCATTGGCAATTGGCCACTTGCAGCACTATTGCTACCCTACACCATCCAGAGGAGGAACTCTAAAGCAGAACACAGAAGTTACTATGGTCATGTAACTCATGTTCCCTGCACCAGCTGCCTACAGAGTCTTTCAACTGTCCCTGCCAGTCTCACAAACACTACCATCAAATGCAAACTCTTGATTAGAATGCGAACTACGTTAACACTATCCACATCATCACCTGCTTCAGTTACTCCCCCAACAGATGTGGGTTTGCCGCCCAGAAAGCGTCAGCGATGATGTCATCGTGCACGACCAGCAGCTTGGATCGCTTGCGCACCACGGGCCGCCCGTCTGGGTGCTGCTTGCCCTCCACCTGCTCCTCCACCTGCCATGGCATCCGGGGGAGCGATGGGAGGCAATGAGGCTGCGTCATCTGTGCATGCAATCACATGGCTGCTATGTGGGCTGTTATTATCCGAGGTGAGTTCGAGTCAACTCAAAGTCTCCTGAATCGATTTGTGAGGGGGCAACAGAGGAACAAGCCCATTCACGGCACAACAAGCAGCCAAAACCAGTCAGACTACAACCAAAGCTACTTGAAACAGCAGCAGCAGCACCTGTCGTCGGAAGAGGGAGGAGCCTTTGCGGAAGATGGCGGGCAGGTCGTTGTAGTTGATGCCGAAGCGCGTGAACAGCAGCTCGTTCTTCGCATCCGCCAACGTGCCCTTTAGGAGGAGGGAGCAAGGGTGGGACGGGGGAGGAGGAGCGGAGAGGAGGAGGGCAAGCGGGAAGAGTGTTGAGGGAAAGCAGCAGCAAAATCGGCAGGATTAAGAGAAGAGAGAAGGGGAGGGGGGAAGGGGGAATGTACTGGGTGCACGAGGTTGGGTGGGCACTGGGAAGGTGGCACGGTGGCAATGAGGAAGGTACCTTAATGGTGTCCTGCGCCTCTTTGGGTGAGAGGCCAGACTTGACGAGCATCCAGAAGCACGTGTTGTACTGGTTGTTGATGTGACCTGCCACCAGGGTCGCATGGCAAAGGGTGAGACGAGAGCCTGAGGATTGAAGAGAACTCAAAGCGACTTCTAAAAACGCTTGTTATGGACAGGCAAGGCAAGGCAAGGCAATAACAAAGCAAGGTACAGCAAGGCACGGCACAGGAAGGCAAGGCACAGCACGGCAAGGCAAGGAATACTGACAGTCCACTTGGCGCCAGGAGAGGTAGTCTCGGAGCACAGCGGTGGAGGGGTAGAGCACAGCACGCGCATCAAAGGACGGTGGCGCGAGCAGCGGCTGTGATGGAAAGTGGTTGGGCCACTGGTGGACAAAGGAGGCTGCGAATAGAGACACCACCACTGATATCAGCTTGCTGCTCTGGCAGGCGGAGCAAGGGACACGTGGAGAGAGGGGCGGAGGGAAAAGAGATGGGTGGGGAGAGGTGCAGGGAAAGTGAGGCGTTTGGGCAGGCAGAGAGGAGCGAGCAGTGTTTAAAGGGAGGGTACAAGGGAGGGGAAGACAGATAAAGAGGGAGCAATGTTGGAAGGTCTGCTGCAGATGCGGAAAATCTCAGGAAAATACAGAGAATCGTCTGAGTAAGGGCAAGAGCTGGTGGGGGAGGACAGTCGAGCCTGGTCTGCGCGCGCAACAATGCTCCAGTTCGGTTACTCTGTACTGTAACACAACATCAACCTGTTACATTGAAACTCCTTTTTTTCACCTGAGGCTTCCAAGTCACCTGGCTCTTCTCTCATAAAGGTTGGAGTCACGGCGAACGACAAAGCTGGAACAGGGATGGAAACGGCGATGGGAACGGGGCAGGAAGCAGAAAATGGGGTAGGTAGCGGGAATGAAAAAGAGGATAGGAGGAGAGGACAATGGTGTCAATGACTGGTGATCACATGGATGCAGACAGACTTGTTCTCTGGAGTTCAAACACACAACAGCACCGCACCGCACCGCACCGCACTGCTTGCAAATGATCCTCTTAAAAATAGTAACTAACACAGGAGGCGCAGTAAGGTTCTTTGAGAATAGATCAAAACGTCTTTCTGCACCCGCCACACGATCACCCTCGCGCACCTGAACTCGTCGCTCACGCCATACGCGAACACGATGTCCGGCACCTGCGCCATGACCGCCGTCGCGGCCGCGTTCATCAGCCGCAGCCCGCGCTCGTCGTTGGGCTTTTCGAACGCGTGGTCCGTCACGAACCTGCGCGGGATGCGGGGACGGGTGGGGAGGCGGGGAGGGGAATGGGGAAAGCGGGAAAAGGCCCGCGCTCGTCGTTGGGCTTTTCGAACGCGTGGTCCGTCACGAACCTGCGCGGGATGCGCGGAGGGTGGGGGGAGGGGGAGGGAATGGGGGAAGGAGACGGAGAGGGGGCGGGTGGAGGAGGAGAGGTGGCGGGGAGAGGGATGGGGAAGAGGGGAAGAGGCGGACGCTCGTCGTTGGGCTTCTCGAATGTGCGCTCCGCCACGAACCTGCGCGAGATGCGCGGAGGGGAGGCGGAGACCGTGGCGGAGGAGGCGGATGGGGAGAGGTGGCGGGAAAAAGGGGAGGCGGGAGAAGGTGAAGAGGCGGGGATGCCGGGATACGCGGATGCCGGAGAGGCAAAAGCGAATGACTAAGCGCCGCAAGAGGCAAAGCTATCAGGAAAAGAAGCGCGGGGATCGCAGGGGCGGCAGACGCACTTGCTGAACCCCCGGCCGTCGATGCGAATGACGATCCAGCAGTGCGGCAGCAGTCTGTCCGGCTGCTCGAACTGCTTCACGTACTCGTACCGACTGTTCGCCATCGCGTGCCGCGTAAGCGCGTACGCCCAAGCGCGCAGTAGCACGCCCTACCCACGTTCACGTGCACGAATTACTTGCAGTATCGATCCGCGCTCCCGCTGTCGCAGTCACAATCGTGAGATCGCAATAGCGGACTGATCGTTCACGGCACACAACGCCTCGTGGCAACGGATTCGCACGAGGCGGAAGCTAACTGAGCAGAGCAGTCCAGAACGAGTAATCGCGTACGGCGTGCGGTAAGTCAGACGACGCCTTGATTACAATCGCACAGTCTCGCATCGCGTTGCGGCGACGGCTGTTGGAGACAATACCTGTCCTCGGCTAGTACCGTTATTAGGGCGCGTGAGGTCTTTGAAATTTGTAAAAGTTTATGTTTTTAGGGCGAATTTTAGTTTCCACACTGTAAAAAATCACACACACATACAAGGTCGAACCCCGACATTCGAACTTGTAAAAACGAGCCGAGCCGCACGTCAACATCGTAGGTTACCCGGTTCGCTCGTCTTGACGGTGCGCCACGTCAACATTTTGCGCCTCGGTTTACAAGGACCTAGAGCTCCAACTCACCTTCCGCGCCGAGTGTGTAGGGAAACTATATTCCAGGCCAGGTCCATACATTCAGATTTCTCTCAAATTTAGCCGCGGGTTGACTCAAAAAGTACTACTTTCTAGAATTTCGCTCACGCGAGGCCCAAAGTATGTTCAAAACTGGTCCTGCAGGGCGAAGTTTTCGACACGTCTCCAATTTCGCTTTGAAAAAATTTCGACGGGGCAAAAAATAATAAAACCCCTCGGGACCTAGGGCACATTTGCGGGAGGGATCAACCCTAAACACCAAGCGGGTCCCCGTGTTTAGGGTTGGTCCCTCCCGAACGTGTGTCCTGGTTCCCCTAGGGGTTTTATGTTTTTTGCCCCCGTCAGAATTTGCTAATAAGAAATAGGACACGTGTCGAAAATTTTGCCTCGCAGGTCCAGTTCTGAACATAATCTGGGCCTCGCGTGAGCAAACTTCCAGAAAGCTGTACTTTTTTAGTGAAATTAAGACTAAATTTGAGATATTTTTGAAACTATGGAGCTGGGATATGTTGAACAAGAATGAATGAACTAAGAGTGAAATGAGTACAAGTATGAAAACCTAGGAATGTGTACCCCCTATAGGCTAACCCACTGTAGCCTAAACAACTACAACAACATATATAATGTTTGACACACCCCCATAGGCGAAGTGGGGGAGAACTAGGGGTCACAAGACCAGTCAAGTAAAGCAAAACAAAGCAAGCTCAGGGTGGATCACAACGTCACCACACAATCCAAGCACAAGTGCAAGGCCACAAGGCAAGTTCACATGCAGGAGTACAGATATATATATATATAAGACTAAACAAGCAAGAGCAGTGATATATATATGTAACAGTACAAAGAGGGTCAAGAGGAGAGCAAGTGAGGCAAGACAGACACAAGACCCAGCTGGGTACAGCAGCGCTGATGATCACAAGGCGGAAGGGCCTTGGTGAAGACATCAGCAGTGTTGGCCTCAGAGGCCACGTACGCAAGTCGCAACTGACCACGCTGCTGTAGCTCACGAGCAAGGAAGTAGCGGAGAGCAATGTGCTTTGTTCTGTGCTCCAGTCTCTGCTCACGACACAAGGCCAGCATGGCCTTGTTGTCGACGTACAGGACTGGAGGAGAACGAGGCGGCTCTCCAAGGTCGGTCAGCAGGTAGGTGAGCCAGCGAAGCTCCTGAGCAGCCATGGCCCCTGCGTAGATCTCAGCCTCACAACTGGAGCCAAGAACAGAAGACGAGCGAGTAGCCCGCCACGAAACAGAGCCGGAACCAAGGCCGAAGGTGTAACCCTGTGACGACCGCTGTGTAGCCTGGTCGTCAGCCCAAGAAGCGTCTGCGTGTCCAGTGAGTACCACTGGACTCCGCCCTCCAAGCACTAGCCCCATGCCCGACGTACTGCACAAGTAGCGCAACACCCTCTTCGCTGCAGCCATGTGCTCTGGTCGGTGTCTCCCAGGAGCAACATAGCGTGCAAGAATGCTAAGAGGGTATGCAAGGTCAGGTCGTGTGCAGGTCATCAGGTACATGAGACAGCCAACAAGCTCTGAGTACGGGCCACTCGACTCTACGGACTCATCCGAAGGCAGAGTTGAGAGCGAGTGGCGAGTAGACAGAGGAGTGGCCTGAGGCGAGGAGTACGTGAAGCCGAAGCGCTGAAGGACCTGCTGCACCATGTGTGACTGAGTCAGGGTAATGGTGCGGCGTGCTCTGTCCCGGGTGATCTGCAAGCCAAGGTAGCTGCGCAGTTCACCCAGGTCAGTGCACGTGTGTCTTTTCTGCAGCTCGGACTTCACGTAGGCGAGTCCAGTAGTATCAGCTGTGGCAAAGACCAAGTCGTCGACGTACACGAGGATGTAGAACGGCGGCAGAGAAGTGTCGGTGCGCAGAAACAGCGACGGGTCGGCAGTAGACGGAGCGAACCCAAGAGCCGCAAGCGTAGTCCTCAGTGTGTCGTGCCACTAACGTGGCGCCTGGCGGAGACCGTAGACTGGACGCCGGAGACTCCACTGGGTACCAGGAGGGAAAGACCCAGTGAAGCCAGGTGGGCGGCGCAGCCAGATCTCCTCGTGCAGGCTGCCCTGCAGGAAAGCTGTGCTGAAGTCGAGAGAGTGCAGCTCGTAGTCCCGGTGAGCAGCAACGTGCAGCAGTACCCGAAGAGTGGTCATCTTCGGGGTGGGGGAGAAGGTCTGAAAGTAGTCAACTCCCTGTCGCTGACTGAAGCCACGAGCCACGTAACGCGCCTTGAAGACAGGCGGAGAACCCGGCGGCCGCTTCACCCTGAAGATCCACATGCCACTGACGATGTTCGCCCCAGGAGGGGGGACAGCGTCAACGTAGGTGCCTGTGGACTTCCAGGAAGCCATCTCTGCATCCATAGCTGCCTGCCACTAAGAGGAGTAGGGACCCTCTATCGCCTCCGCGTAAGAGCGCGGAGTCGGGATGTCAAGTGCATCCAGGTCTCCCTCAGGGGTAAGCAGTACGGACACGAGATGAGGTGAAGCAGCTGCCAGACACTGGAACTCCTCCTGCCTGTCCTCAAGGACGTCCGTGCCAAGGGCACACTCACCCCCGACGGACGGAGGACAGACAGACTCAGACTCATCGACAAGACTAGCAGCGTAGTCTAGGCGACAGCGAGCAGCAAAGTCGACGAGCTCAGTGACGAGAGCAGACGCAGCAGTAGACTCGAAAGAAGGGTCAGTGACAACAGTAGCAAGGAGACGCGTGACAGTAGGACTGGCAGCACGAAGAGAGTCCGACTCCGGGTCGGCGAGAGCAGGAAGAGAGGACGCAGGAGGAGAAGGCAAAGGGGCACGTAGAGGAGCAGTAGACGGAGGTAGAGACATCCGGTGCGTGCCAGGGGCAGGAGGAGGACGCTGGCGCGAACTGCGAGCACTAGCGCTAGCAGGACGGACAGGCGACGCAGGACGAGACGCAGACTCACGACGCTCAGTAAGACCGCCAGTAGGACCAGTGTAAGGAGAAGGAGCAGGTAGTGGGGAGGCCGGCTGCAACTGTAACTGTGACGGGACAGGCTGTGAACACGCTAAGGGAGGAGGACCAGGAGGAGGCGAGAGACCAAGAACCTGCTGAAGGAGCGGAACGAAGTACGGCTGAGGGCGCGCGGCGACACCAGACACAGCAGGGACAGCACCTGTACCCCCAGCGGCAGTACCAGAACCAGCAGCAGCTCCAACGCCCAGGTCCTCAGTACTAGCCTCAGCACCAACGCCCGAGTCCTCACCACCAGCAGTGGCTCCAACACCAAGGTCCACAGCACCTGCCGCAGCTCCAACGCCCGGGTCCTCAGCACCAGCAGGGACTCCGACACCAGGGTCCACAGCACCAGTCGCAGCTCCACCGCCAGGGTCCGCAGCACCAGCCGCAGCCCCAACGCCCGGGTCCTCAGCACCAGCAGCACCTCCAACCCTCGGGTCTGCAGCACCAGCAGCAGCTCCAACGCCAGGGTCCGCAGCACCAGCAGCAGCTCCAACGCCCGGGTCCGTAGCACCAGCAGCACCTCCAACGCCCGGGTCCTCAGCACCACCAGCACCTCCAACCCTCGGGTCCGCAGCACCAGCAGCAGCTCCAACGCCAGGGTCCGCAGCACCAGCAGCAGCTCCAACGCCCGGGTCCGTAGCACCAGGGGCAGCTGGGTCCGTGAGACGAGGCGCACCACTCCGAAGTGTGCAACGGCGCTCGTACCACTCACGGATCCGCTCACGAGAGGGGAGCTCCCGACTAGGAGGAGAAGTACCAGCCCCAGTCCCTGTAGTGCGCCTGGTCCCAGAGGTAACACTCCGGAGGCTGCAGTACTGTAAGTACCACTCACGCAACTGCTCCGAGGAGAGGTCGCGTCCAGGTGTAGCACCCTCAGGCCCAGCACCGCAAGGCTCAGCACCCCCAGTCACCGCACCCCCAGGCTCAGCACCCCCAGGCTCAGTACCCCCAGTGTCCGCACCCTAAGGCTCACCACCCCCAGAGTCCGCACCCCCAGGCTCAGCACCCCCAGAGTCAGCACCCCCAGGCTCAGCACCCCCAGTCTCCGCACCCCCAGGCTCAGCACCCCCAGCAGGACGAGAGTCAACAGCAACCTCAACAGGCTCGACCGGGTCTACCTGAGACACACCTGAGGGAGCGGCACCCTGAGGGGGGAGGGGGTCTACGACAGCAGCACCTGGCGCGAGGAAGAGAGGCGGGGGTGGGAGCGGGGCAGTGCGGTAGGGAAAGAGGCGGTAGTAGGGGACAGACTCGTCAAAAGTGACGTCCTGAGAGGGCAAGACCCGGCGCGAGGTGGCGTGGTAAAACTGCCAACCAGGCACGTCCGGAACAAAGCCGAGGAAGACGCAGGGAACAGCACGAGAGGAGAGCTTGTCCGCAGACGAATCGCGGACAAAAGCTCGAGATCCCCAGACCCGGAAACGTGACGCATCGCCA